TTGTATCTACACCCGTTCTCCGTAGCCATACCCGTATTTATCTACCACCCGGTTTCGTAGCCATACCCGATACTTTGTTATCTACACCCGTCTCCGTTATGCCACATACCCGTTACTTGTATTCTACCACCCGTCTCCGTAGGACATACCCGTTAACTTGTGATCTACACCCGCTCCGTAGCATACCCAAACACGTACTTGTATCTACACCCGTCTTCGTAGCACATACCACGTACTTGTATCTACAAACCCGTCTCGCGTAGACATACCCGTACTTGTATCTTACACCCGTCTTCGTAGCCATTACCCGTACTTGTATCTAAACACCCGTCTTCCGTAGCCATACCCGTAACTTGTATCTACCACCCCGTCTCCGTAGCCCAATACCCGTACTTGTATCTACACCGGTCTTCGTAGCCTTACCCTTATTTTCTTGTATCTACACCCGTCTCCGTAGCCAATTAACCCGTTACTTGGATCTACACCCGTCTCCGTAGCCATACCCGCTACTTTATCTACACCCGTCTCCGTTTAGACATACCCGTACTTGTATCTTACACCCGTTCTCTCTGTTTTTGAGCCATACCCGTACTTGTATCTACACCCGTCGTTCTAGCCATACCGGTACTTGTAATCTACCACCCGTCTTCGTAGCCATACCCGACTTGTAATCTACCACCGTCGTTCCGTAGCCATACCCGTACTTGTATCTTACACCCGTCTCCGTAGAACCATACCTACTTGTATCTACCACCCGTCTCGTAAGCCCATATCACCGTACTATAGTATCTACACCGTCTTACCTCTAAGCCATACCCGTTACTTGCTATCTACACCCGTTCTCGTAGCCATACCCGTACTTGTCATCTTACACCCGTCTCGTAGCCCCATACCCAGTCTTGTATCTTACACCCGTCTTCGTGAGCCATACCCGTACTTGTATCTACACCCGTCTTCGTAGCCCATACCCGTACTGTATGGGTATGGCTACGAACCATACCCGTACTTGTATCTCCGTAGCCAGTTACCCGTACTTGTATCTACACCCGTCTCGTAGCCATACCCGTACTTGTATCAACACCCGTCTCCGTAGCCATACCCGTATTTGTATCTACACCCGTCTCCGCGTAGATATACCCGTACTTGTATCTACAACCGTAGCCATACCCGTAGTTGCCAGTGCCGTACCCGTATTGTATCTACACCCGTCTCCGTAGCCATACCCGTACTTGTATCTACACCCGTCTCCGTAAGCCACAGTACCCGTATACTTGTATCTACACCCGTCTCCGTAGCCCATACCCGTATACTGGTATTCTACACCCGTCTCCGTAGCCATACCCGTACTCTGTATCTACACCCGTCTCCGTAGCGCATACCCGTACTTGTATCTACCACCCGTTCTCCGTAGCCATACCCGTACTTGTATCTACATCCTTCCCCTTAGCTGCACCCGTACTCATACATACACCATATCCAAACCCGTACCTGCGCATGTAATTGTACTCGCAACCGCACTAATACAAATACCTGCACCCATATCCTCATACGCAACCTAACCTGTTCCCGCAAACCGTACCTGCACCTGCACCTGAATCTGCACCTGAATCTGCATTCGTAACTGTATCAGCTCCTGTACATGCTTCCCTGCATATGACCGTGCTCGAAACCGTGCCTAACGCTTCGCCACGCCACGCTCCTCACCGCCCCCTGCGCCACGCCGCCTCGCCACGCCGCCTCGCCACGCCACGCCACGGCCTCCAGCTCCCCATCTCACTACACCGCGCCCCGACCTCACATGTGCTTTGGTGAAGAGCAAGAAGTTGGCAGTTATGCAAGTATCGTTGAAGTTTAATGGAGGACATACAGGGAATGACTGGTGGAGGGGGAGGGGGGTTCTGATGTTGTTTTCTCCATTAGAGCAGTTGTCGACCACGTGAGTGGTTACTGCATGAGCCAATGAGTTTCACCGCTGAAACTGATGGCAGTAATACAATTTCACAGCCTACTCATACTTGTTTTGGAGAGGAGCAAGAAGTTGGCCAGCTCGCGATTATCGATGAGGATTAATGGAAAAGCTAAATAAAGTGGGGAAGGGTTTGTTGATGGCTTTTGTACTCTAAATTAAGTCTACGTATCACGTGTCTGGTTAATGCATGTGACAGAGAGTATGCATTAATCCGTTGAAATTGAATGGAGAAATGACTTTTTTCTTAAATCTTGACTCTACGTATATACTAATGCGCACCTACCCTATAGTACATGAGGATATTTTCCTTGTTACGTATTCTTAAGCCCCCTTCCTCTGGTGGAAGTTTACTGTGAGATGCATAATTTTATGTGATTTTAGAGACCAAATATGGTGAATCTTCTGCGAATGAAGTAATTGAAGAAAAGGTAGGAGTATAAGTTAAAATTGTTGTGGAAGGTAAAAAATGATATTCGAGAAAATATATGAGAATACGAATTCTTGAAAAGTATCATTTGCCTGAATATTATAGAAAACTTGAAGATTTTATTACTATCATGAAAGTTTTGCTTGGACTTAGCTAATTGTTATTACAGATAAAAGCATTTTCCTTTCTATTAATTCCATTATAATAATTGAGATCCGTCAATGTTGATATTCGCAGCCTTTTCATAATTTAACATAATAAATAATCGTATGTATGAATTATCAACTGATGTTTATCACATTAATTTTGTGTCTTATTATTTCCTTGCTCCGCAAACTCCAAAATAAAGTATTTTTAGAATTCATCTCGAAATGAATTCCTGGACGTTTATAAATAATATACTGGTAAAGTAACTAAATCTACTGTTATTTCTTCTCATGTCGAAGTTGTGTTTCACACTTAATAACTAAATCTATTTTTAACGAGATTTGGTGCTCGTGTATTGCAAAAACTCGTGTATTGACATTTTTGTGATATATAATCTCCTATTTTAACATATAATGTTTCTATTTTTCTTCCTTTTTTCCTTTTTGTTCTCATTTTACATTCTTCGAAGATAATTAGTCTTATTCATATATCATTCAGGCCAGCATGTGTTATCTGCTGTAGCACCCCAAGAAGTAACGTCCTATTTATAAAGCTACGTAACAAAAATCAGTTTCCTAAAACAGCAAAAGGGCAATTGAAACAATCGCTGAAAAAGCTTCCTCAATACCACAACGACAAACGTCGCTGGCCAATCGCTTGAGAAACGTAGGTTTTTTAGAAAAAGTTAAAATGCAATATTAGCTTCACGTAATAAACTCCCCAAAAAAGTCTTTTCATATTCACATGACCTCAAGTTACGGTACATAGACAATATAATATCAATACGACACTCAAAAGCGAATTTATACGCCCGTGACAATACAAACATTCTTCATTATTACTATATTTCCTCTATGTTACGTGCTTTATAAGTTATTGACGTCATGAGGCCGATATAGAACAAATAATTGATGCTCTTGAAGTTTGTGAATGTAGGCGATCGCGGAGGTTTATTACCAACCAAGTCAGTTATTTTTGATTTCCGTGTCACATTCACTACTTTTTTTAATACTACCTTGTTATGAGACAAACCACATAATTATGAAATTCAATGTCTTGGAATAGATGTACTAATATTTCATCTTTAGTTACTTATTTGTTTCGATTACATTTAACATGTACCAGACCATTAAATTCCTAAATGGACTCCGACCGTCAAGAGTGGGTTTTCCTCCCGCTTTCTAAACGGATAACATAACAGTGCAGTATAAGGAAAAGTAAAAAAAAAAAGGAAAGAAAATAGGCTCCTGCCTCAATGTGTCCACCTACAAGGAACCCCTCACCAGCGTTGGCAATGGCGCCATGGGACGAGCAGGTGGCGCCGGCGCCCGGAGATTTTTTTTACGCGGGGCGCGTTTTCGCGTAACCTTTCGGCGGCTGAGGTGAGTGGGGAGGGAGGGGGGGCGCCGGCGGCCTCCGCGGAGCCGCGTCCTCCGCGCCGTGGGAAGGCCGCGCGCTGCTGCTTGCATCCGCCCCACGCCGCCTCACGAGACACGCGCCCCCCGTGGAAGGGGGCGCCGTGCCTCATTAAGGAGCCACTTGCTGGAGCGACTCGGGGAATCAATTGAATCGTTCATTTCAGGAACCAGTCAAACGCCAAAATACAAATCACGCTTTAGCGACGGATTGTTGTTCCAAGAGGATTGACACATCGTTTAGTGCATATTTATATAAAAAATCTTCATTTAGTAACTCCTTTAATACAAAAAATATTTTAAAATATGGAAAATTGGGAGATTTATTCTCAGTTTTCTCGAAACGAGGAATTTGACATTTGACGCGTTTGTGAAATTAACGATTCTCTCTTATTCTCGATTCTCTCTTAACGAGCCTTTGGCCGGAGATCCTAGGTTCTCCAGTTCCGACGGTGGCAGCATTTTCGACACTACCTACGTAGCTAGGTCGAATTGTGCAGCTGTCTGGAGGAGAACTCTAGCGGCCGCCGGCTCTGATCGAAAGTTTACCTTGATTTCTCTGACAAATACCTGGATAATGCCGGAGCAGAACACTAACAAACTGTCCGCGCGCGACTTTTCCTTCCTCATTCCTGGACTACCCTTGCCCATACTTACCCACGCACTTACATGCACAACACTGCTACATATGTCTGGAGACGAGAGTTTGTTCTGGATGGAGCGGTGCCCCGCTGGTGGGAGATACCTGGTTGGGGAAATCCCGCAAGCCGGCACGTAGGTCGATACAAAGTAGTTTCCAGCAGGTGAAGATCATCGCCACCTTCCGCGATAAAACATGCATTACACTTACGGGACGAATGACATTAATAGTTGACACGTCCGGAAACACTAATCAATAAATAGGGAAGCACTCCACCATATCTTAGTGAGGGTTCTCACTTCATAGTATTTGTCCAGGAAATCAGGACTGCACTGATACTTCTGTGCAATTCTCAAGATTTACATAAATGGGGCGCTGTTGTAGGAATTGCGATAGGCAAAAATGTGGGGATGTTCAGAGAAAATGAAGGTAATTGTGGTCAGTGTATGGGCGTTTATGTGGGTCACGAAATCTTCCATTGAAAATGAAGTGAAGCGTTGTTGTTGTTGTTGTAGTAATGAGGAATACTCTATGAAATAATATAAATTTTACAAATTAGTATCACATTCTTGTAGCACAAAATGAAATTTTTCAGTTGTAAAAAATATGTATCATTAAACAGTTCTTTACTTTCTCAAAAAATCGAAATGTTTACTGAATGAATTCTGAGAGTACTCACCGAATTCGTTATTCGTTGCCAAAGGTTAATCAGCCGAACAGTTGCAAGCGATTAGCAAAGGACCAAAGGAGGCTTCTCTAGGTACTTGATTCATAGATTCTCCGCGCGAAAAATGGGATATCAATATTACGACTGAGAGCATTCCGGTGTTCTACAATCCGAATTATTTTAACTCTCACGAATAGTAACAAGAAACCCAGTAAAATGACCGTTTGTCGTGTGTAGTACGCTTAGCATATAATCCTACTGTTCACTTTCGGGAAGGCGGGACTATAAAAACAAGTCCACTCTTTACAATCCACTCTATACAGAAGTAATAAATTCTAATATGTTTTCACAATCACATCATCAATAGCAAAATTGTATTATTGAGAAAACTAAGTTAGATTTATCTAGATAGAAAAATCATATTTTTATTGAGTAGTTGGCACATGTGGTAGGATTAAACTGACTTCTGCCAGCTAGCGGTGCTCCCAGGTCTGGGCCCTGTTTTATTTATCCACGCCTGGGGGGAAGGGAGACATGTGAAGGGCATGACGTATTCCTATCACGGTACCTAGCTTACTTGGCCTGCCTGAGCTTTCTTTCGTCACACAGCTTCAGAAACTAAGACGATTTGTATTAGAAAGATACAGCTTCATTTTTGCCCCGACACCTTAACCGAAGGAACCGAACCTCTCAAAAATCTAGCATTTAGTCCATGAGCATCTGGAAGGGGGAATATTTTATGTAAACCTATTCTTATGATGTAACGTTCACATATTTTAAATCCGCTTTCGCGATCTCTTATGAAAAATGCAAAACTTAGTGTGTTTCAGTATAATGTACTCTAACCGAAACAAAAGTAAATTTCGTAACTTAAATTATGTATTTATCAGAGTAAAAATAAAATCGCAATGGCTTTCAGTCATAAAGTATGGTTTTCGAATCAAACATTAGATTATTAAGCATAGTTCGATACTTTTCTCGTTAACAAGACATTGAACAAAATCTATTCCATTTCATAGAAATAAATATTTACTACATTGAATAATAAAAAGATTTACATTTTGTTTTCTTAACCACTCTTCACTGTTGATATGAAACGGACCTATGAAGACTACCATCGCGATGTGATTGCTCAGGTAATGGTGAGGAGATTCATTCTTGAGAAAGAACTTCTCATAATTACATTAAACAGTAAAATGAACACTTGTGTAGTAATGTCAATGTTCATCTGCACTAAGAAAGAATTTTTCCCAGTCAATTCGTATTTTCTAATCTTTTATTCTTATATCAATAATATAATGAAACTTGTAATATAGATACGGTGTTAAAATATGTAACGTCATCATAGAATGCTAAATTAATTAAACGTCTTGTTTCAGGACGCCAGTACAGCTACACAGAAAAGCAACGCTACGATGGATGGTTCAACAACCTCGCGCATCCAGACTGGGGATCAGTCGGTAAGTAATCTTCTAGTGAACAAAAAGTGCTACGCGACTTCAACGTTTACAACAACTATCTTGTATCAAAGAGAAAGTAGTCTAAATAGGAAGCGTATATTTGTTGCATCAGATCCATTGAATGAGATTATTAGTTCAGGACTGATATTGTCATTAATGAGCAATGTTCTGTAATTGGTAATCGAAATGAGTCATTCTCGTAATAGTAACTTTAAATCATGTCCTAAATCTATCCCTATCAATTCATATCCTATTTAGATACCAATTACTATGATAAATTGAATAGATTACCGGAGTCTATTAAGGGAGAACCAAAGTAAATAATTTTGTTGTTGGGAAAAAAATAAATACTTAACAGATGGTTGAAAAAAATATACTAACATTGTAATTCAGTAAGATTGTATCTACAAACATTTGTAATGTGGTACTACAATTTTGAAGAGTTAAAATCAAAATATTACAGGAGATATGAAGGTAGAAAATAATTCATTTACTTTATCAATGAGTAAATTAACTTATTTTTATTTTATTGACATGTTGACATTGTTTTTGCTTCCGTTGGCCTCCAAGAAAATACGAACATTAGTAACTTAATGGACTAATTCTCAGATCTTAATTTTATACTTTACATTAGACATTTTAAGGGTATTGCGAGTATCTCAATATCTTACGTAATAATGTGAGGTGGTAGCACTAAACTTCTACTCCTGCACGGTCGTTAATAATAAATAAAGTCCACACAACTTGTGTCAGACTTATAATTCAATTTAAAAGATATTCCATCACCCAATGGAGTATCAAACACAAAGCCAACCATTATTCTGCGCAAACCCTTACCGTAACAGACGATTTATCAAACTTTGTATCTCAAGAAACTGGTTGCACTGAAAGCAGCAATGCACATAAGACAATCAGCGAACATAGCCGGAGGAAGTTCAACTACCAATACTGATAGATTTTTATGTATTACTCTTGGAGGTATGTTGCATCTTTAATAGAAATTTATAGACTTTTAAGAATGATCGCGTTATTATCTAATGTTTACTGGGTTGATTATGAAACAGATAAGCAAATAAAAATCCAGTTGGAATATGTCTGGAAATTAATTACGTATCATTGTCAAGAAAACGAATACACAAAACGTACACAAACAAATTGCAATATTGCATGTCAATAGATCTTTTAAAGTAGCATACCTATGAGTAAAACGTTCTCCATTAGATAAATGATTAAAACAAGACATGTAATATTTATATACAATTTTTTTCCTTCGCTTGTTACGAAAGACTTTCGTATTCTATTACAAGCAAGACAACTTCGTGGAAATAAGAAATGTATGCATTGATTAAAACAAGGATTTTTTATTTGCTAGATAATATACTACATTCAGCAAAATATATTCAAGAAACACGATTCGTTCTATTTAATTTTAATTCCCAATATTATTGCTTCAATTATACTACATTTAGAGCAATTTTACTTTTCGTATAGATACATTGTGTTGAGACATTTCTTCTGGTTGATATGATCAGATCGCGCAAAGAGAAGAAACGTTCTTTTTAGCTTTTGTCAAAGCATTCGAACATCCCAAAATCTACGAAATTTTTTTCGGCTTTACCCCTTCGAACTAGCGGATTCATAGTAATTTATTATATTAGGCGACAGTATGTTTATCGTTGCGTGTTACATTTGATTTTATTCCACTAGTTCTGTTAAATACATTTAACTTACTTACCCTGTATAGTAGGCAAGGGTTGGTGATTGAGAATTGAGAGAAACAGTTGATACTTATTGTATTGTACTGTTGCATTGATATTGTATTGTACTGTTGAGCTAGAATAAACTACATAGAGTGGCTGACCCTATAGTTTCAGCACTCTCGGTGAAGGCTCGCCGAACTAGTAGCCGCCATGTTGTTTTTTCAAATCGAAACATACGAGTGGCAGTGTAACTGACGGTAACCAGCGCCAAACGTAACTGCTATACTGCGATTTTCGCAACTCATCCAATCGGAAACTTAAATGTAGTTTCATCCAATCGGAAGCTTAAATGTAGTTTCATCCAATCGGAAGCTTAAATGTAACCTTAGTGAAGTCAATATTGTGACGTTCAAGCTTCCTATTGACTGAAACCGTGAACAGCTGAGACCTGCCATGGGCAGAATTGCATAAATCGCAGTATATAATACTTTGTTTTCCAGAGGGCGCTGCTTTGACTACAAAAAACAAGGCTTCAATTTGCAAGATGGAGGCGCTTCAACCACTCTATGTAGTATATTCTAGCCCATTGGTTGCGTTGTACAACAGCTACGTAGTATTTAAATTTCTATGTATTGCAATAGCGCATTCGTTGATCCTCAGAATGTATAATCTACTTGAACAGGTAGTAGCGGGTTAGATATCCATTGCCGGAACGTGTGCTTGCGCATTAGAGTAGATAAGTTATTTATTATGCGAGTGGTAAAAGTGACATTATATTTTGCGAGTGGTAAAAGTGACATTATATTTTGCGAGTGGTAAAAGTGACATTATATTTTGCGAGTAGGAAAGGCTGCGACAAAAAGCCGACAGACTGAGTGGCGCAATTCTACGAGCAAAATAAAATCACTTTTAACATGTGTGTCATATATTAGTTTTGGACTACCTTACTGACATTCATTTTATTCTTAATCAACAATACAAATCACATAACGATACATTTAGATCCGCAGTAGCTGATGCGGTCAGAGAGAAGCATTTTATTTTCTTTGCAGCGTTCAACTATTAACATCCAAACGGCGGCGATGGTGTAATTGTTAGCGTATCGGGCTGTTATACCCCAGTTGCGGGTTCAAACCCGATCGAAGCTGTGGATTTTTAAGGGCGAAAAATCCTTTCTACGCCTTCCTTCGGAGGGGAAGTAAAGTCAGCTATCCCATGTTAGTAGATTTACTGCATGTAAAAGATCCTTAAGCCTAAATTAAACCTCAGAGCTAAATAAAAAAATCGCCTGTTTCGTCACCAAGAAATACCTCCTTTCTCCGCTAGTTGGTGAAAGGAACGTAGCGAAATTTGCGTGGACAGATGGAAGAGCAGGCCTCATGACGTGGATCTCACCACGTAAAATAAGGCAATTCAATTCTGAACATCTGAGATTCTTCACACTTTTAGATCTAGAGCTAAAAATTGAACTTCCAGCAAGCTACGCATGCCCTGAGAGGATAGCTTGTACTGGTATCTAAGAAATATATAATTTACTTAACTACTTGAATTTATTTGGGCGAAATCGTGTTTTACCTCAATGTTTCTATCTACGAATCCAGACGCTCCTTCGTACAATTTTCAATGCCCATGTTCATAACCACCACCGCCATTTGCAACATTATTTTACGACTGTGTCAACCACCCAAAAAGGGGGGGAAAAGTGCTGGAAGCATCGACTGTTACAAAACATCAGCCACAAGCTGCTACTACCTCGTCGCCAAGACGGTAACGGCATCTGCGGCGGCGGCGGTCAGTTTCGCGGGGAAGGCGAGTCTAATTTGTGCTAATTGCCGATCCGCGGGCGGGCGAGAGCCACATTTATCGCTAATGCGGCCATTACGGCCTCTTCGCGCGCACCAGGCAGCGACTTATGCCTTGCGCGCGCTGGCGGCTAGGAATGCCCAGCTATTACAGAGCAACCGCGTTCTTCTCGCGGATGGGCAATCAGCCTCATGAGCGCTTGGCGACAAGTACAAGTGGAACTAGAGCTTGGCAGGTGAGTTTACTCGTCAAGAGGTTGACGTCCTACTGACGAAGAGGTTTCCAGCGCAAAAAATAAAGAAAAGAAATGTTATGGGTGATACCATAAAGTATAGATAAGTAAAATGTGAAAGAAAGTTTAAAATTATGGAGAATGGAAGAACAATATTTTTTATGCTTAATTTCTGAAGTTAAATTTTCTCGAGACAAATTAATTCACTACTTGGTTTTTGGAGATTATTTTAAATGTGTTTCTTCATTCTTGCGTCATTTACCACGGCTCTCTGTCGGCAAATTACAAAGCTAATACTGGTATATTGCAAAAGAGCTTTAAAATTGTAATGAGTTGCAACTTAGTTCGCACAAGCTTCCTTTGCTATTTAATATGACATAATGAGTTATATTTCTCTTCGTCTTGTGTGAGTGATTCTAGAGTTCGATGAGGACAGGGTTCAAGAGGTTCTGTTTTCTGAGTAGGTTCCGCGACCGGAATGAGCTGTCAGTCGCGTGAGTGGTAGTACAAGGAACAAACGACGGTATGCGAGTTGTCGCGTAAAAATATTACATTCCTCCGAGTCGTCCTCCTGTTCCGAGACAAAACACGAAAGGTAATAGAGGCAGAATTCACAAGAAAATTGTGAAAGAAACTGGGTATGAAAGCACTGCGTGGGAATCTGAAGAAAGAATAATTATCGTTGAGATGTTGTTACGTTATTATAGATTTAATCAAGATACATTTATTCGTTACAGCTTTTCAGGTACTAGCTTTTAGCTTTCAAGCTTAAGTGTACTCTCACTATCTGTGTCTTGATACTCAGTACAACACAATTGTTTCCAAAATATGCATGACAATAATAATAATAATAATAATAATAATAATAATAATAATAATAATAATAATAATAATAATAATGCCTTCTCAGGCGCAATTTTAAATTACTTTATAAAAAGATGTAGTACCAATTCTTAACGTCTCTCATTACTCTTTCCCTATAGAGAAAGCGTTTCGAAAAAAATTAATAGCTAAAGACGGTCACACAAACTGTAATGAAGAATGAAAAATTTGCCATTCATCAATTACGGTCTTATCAAGTTTATCTTGTCAGTTTATAATGTCAGCGTGGTAATCAGCATATCTGATTATCAAAATAAACTAAAGCACAAATACATCTCACGGGCGCATTGGATAAGTATTGAATGAAAATCATTACCCTATTGTCGCTCGCGCAGTTTTCTTTTGATATTGAACACTTAAAGGGTATTATATCTTCGCGTCTTCCTTTTCTTCTCTGGTTTCAAGAATGTAGGTTATACATGTACAATTGGAGAGATTTGAAAAGTAGTTATGACAAGTAGTCTTGCTGAAAAAATCTCATCTTTAAATTGACATTGTAATGGTGTAAAAAAAGAGTATTTTAAATATAACTACATTTAGTCTCATATTCATAGATCAGTGTTCTCATTAGCATTTTCTAGAGGTCTGATCAATAAAGGAACTTTTTCTTGCTAACGACAGGGGAGACATCACGATCTAGATGTTGGTCTCAAGGGGCTGACTTACATGCACAGCATAAGCTCTGTAGTGTTGGGATGTCACGAAGGTGTGCATACAACTGCCAGCAGTCAGGCTACTGGTGCGTTTCCATAGTTGTAAATTCTACTTACCTCCCTTAGTCTCTCTACCTTCTTATTACATTGTATATAATGAAGTCTATACTATACGTATTCACATCTAAAAACAAAAAGTGTCATGTGTTGTCCACTTTCAGTAATGGAAATTACACAGAAAGCGGATACTTCAACAGTGGTGATGAAAATGTTCCTGATATATTCATTTCAGAGTTCTCATTACACTAACAATAATATTTCACGGTTTGTGAATGAAGAACTTGAATAAAGGGACATCTTGTTAGTAACTTATGTCTTGTTTCCGTTTCAAAATGATTTGTGAAAATGTAGATAAATATCTCCACTTCAAGACATTGCCTGTATAAAATGAGTATATCAACCTTATCTCCTATGCAATGTTTCATGAAAGAGTTACCCTACAGTAATGTTACTAAAAAATAAGCTTTAGTAGCTTGATGATTTACGTATTTATGAAACGCCTGACTCGAATTCTTCGAAACAACTACTGCCACAAATGACTTGCACATAAACCCCGTCTTGAAACTTGTTTGATGTGCACTTTCCCTCTTTGAACGTTGAGGATTTAGCAAACAACTTGTTGCGTTATTGGGTTGCAGCTGCAAGAAATTGAGGAAAATACAAAAAACAGTTTGCGTAAACATTTCCATCAGTTGATTGAAGGGTGCTTCACGCGATGTCTTGACATAAGTTTAAGCGGATAGTAAATATTGAAAAGTTTCATTAATACGAACCACATTAACCGATTGCACCTCTTCGAACATGAAATAGAATGTGGGATAGTGTGTGTGGATCGTAAATATTTAGGAATGTTTCATTGTAAAAATTAGGAAAATTGCTCGTATGTTGTGAAAATGCAATGCCGACTCTTGCCTTTCAGTAATAGTAATAATAATAATAATAATAATAATAATAATAATAATAATAATAATAATTTATTATTATGTCGCATGTGTAATTGTCCTTTACCCCTCATTACCATCCCATCACCTCTTTATTCATTATTCAAGGCGTAACAAACTTTTCTTATTAAGGACTACAGCTATTCCCCATAATTAGTTACGTTAATATCTCTAGGGCCTTGAAAGATAACGTGTCGCGTGGTCATAAATGGCCCATAAGCAAATAAAAATAATAATAATAATAATTAATAAATATAATATTAATATAATATTTAATCTTGTTTAGAGAGAT